TTTTGTTTCTAAAGTGACTAGATTTTTAAATAATGGTAAATTAACAGTTTCAAAGAAATTATTTTGACTTGTATTGCAACAAGTTATTGGTATTTTCAGTATCCAAAACCTGCTTGAAACTGTCCAGCTTTACACAGTACTGCCCTACTAGATACTGTCATACTTTTTTAAAAAAGAGGGGGCATCTAAAGACAATTTGAGTCTCATTCACTTGCCACACTAACTGTAAACAATCACAATCATCTCCTGGCTTTGCCATGTGTTGCTTAATTTGTGTCCTCTTGGAGTCCCACACATACAAAGAAAACGTGACCTCAACATTTTTCTCTTTAGAGCATCACTGACGTAAATGGGGATTCCCAATTCTGCTAAAGAAAAAAATCAACCTAGCTTAAAGAAAAAAAATAAAAAAAAATCAAATCATCTTCCCCTTGCATTTGTATTAAATATTATCAAACAAAAATATTCAGGGCAGAAATTCACAGAGTGACTGTACACTAGAAAAACACCCTGGCCTTTTCCTTCATCACAGATAATTAAGATAGAAGGGCAAGAAATGGTTTGCCACTAAGTCATGTTTCACATTGCTCAAAACAAAAAGAATCTGCCTGATTTACACACAAATTAGACCACAAATTATTATATAAACATGAATAAAACAGCAATGCAACTTCAGTGGATTTGAGAGTAGAATCAGGTTCCTTGTGGCTGTATTCATAGGCACTACTTGTTCAGTCTTCACTAAACAGTGAAAAATGCTGTCTTAAATACATAGAACTACCTGTGCATGTTGGAACTGGGGTTGGATTCTTCTGCCCAAACCTAGATGTTTACAAGGCAGATACGTGTATTTGTGCCAGTCTCTTGTGAATGCCCATCAGCAGTAGCTGTCCGGGGGATACACAAGCTCAGCACTCCTATGGAAGTATCCTTAAGATACTTCATATCCTGTTCTGCCTCCAAACCCTCTAAGGAGAGATACAGCTGGGGTTCCTCCTCTCTGGATAGGCTGAGGTCTTGGTTAACTTTCCTAAGGTGAGAGATGGTATCAGTCCCAGTGCAGTTAGAAACAAGGATTCCTGAACTTCATCAGCTCCAGCTTTTGCTCTCTGCCTTAATAGCCTGCTGCTTGTGTCTCAAAATTAGCTCTTCAAGGGTATGTTACTGTATGCCTGGGTGTGCAAACAGCCCTGCACGTGGCACGTCAGGAAATGCCTGAAAATCTCAGGGAAGGGAGGCCTAAATAATTTCCTGGATTAGAAATTTACTCTCCTATTAATTTACTTGGTTGGGAATGATTAGTTGTGTGCATTCAGTTAATCTATTTCTACCAAAAAAAAAAAAAAGGTCTTGCTATCCTTTCCGTAAAGGCCTTGGTGGTCATTCTAGGATAAAACTGTCACTTTTCAAGTGTATTATCCTGGCAACACTACAGTTCATTTTGACATGAGCAGCACAGTTTCATTCTGAACTCCCACGTCAATGAAAATCCAGCACAGTCATTATCTACCTTCCACATGAAGGGGTTTAGCTGGGGGATACTGAGGTGAGGATCCCGAGCTTGATTTTCTTGTTATCTGACTTGAGACTGTGGTGACCCAGTCACCACCTGAAATATTAGTGGAGGTCCCTGTCCCCCCCCAGAGCACCCCAGATGTGCTGCTGCCCAGCATGGAGCACCCAACCTGCCCCTGGCTGCTGGAAGCTCTCGCCCTGTTTGCTGAATACCATATAAAGTGCTCAGGCTGTGCCGAGGCTGTTTTGTGCCATTTCCTATTATGGTCAGGAAAGGGAAATCCCTGTGCCCAGAGCCAAGGCTCCAGGATGCCATTGCACAGCCCTGCTCTGCAGTGGTTCCTCTGGGAGGCAGCCTGAGCCACCCTTGGACACGGCCCTGAGACTGAGGCACTGCAGCAGCTGCACACCACAAAGCTCTCATTCACACGAGACGGCAATAAAATAAAACAATAATAAAAAAAAATTAAAACCCACTTCTGCCTATGTCAGAAAGAGCATAGTTTCATTATTTATTTTTTTTTAAACTAACATTCATAGGCCAGTTTAAATACCACAATACTCCTGCAATTATGAACTCGTAACTTGGTAGAGGTTTTTTATTATTATTTGGAGGGCGGTTAGATTTTCTTTCTAAATTAAATACATGCTAAAATTTCTTACTTATAGTAACTGTTCATGAAACATGGTTCATCATCTATTATCATATGCTATTATTTTGGCTCCAGTTCAATAGCTGGAACATTTAGAAATAATGGAAAATTGAAAATAAAAAAAGCCCAACTAACAAAACCTGGATGAACACTTATCAGCTGGTAGCCAATATTCTTGTTTGTTTATATAGATATTTTTATATTAATCCTTTCATTAAACTGTAAACAAACGACATTTTTCCCTAAATTTCTTGCAGAAATAGTTATGTAGTCAAAGCACGATTGTTCTGTTAAGACATCTATTTGGAACTTGAGTAATTTTTTTCAAGGACTCTCATCAATCATCTTTGTTATGTGGTGTTCATAGAAGCTTTTTTTAAATAAACCCTTCTTCTAACATCAATCCAAGCTTCTTAACTAGGATTTCAGTTTACAAAATTTGATGCCTACCTGAGCAGAGGACATACTCTGATATGAAAATACACATGAAAAGAAATATGAATTATTACAGTTGTTACCTCACCACAGATAAGGGTATGGATTATGTATTGAAAATAACTGAAGTTAAGAATATCAGGTCACAGTGTTCCTACAGATTGCTAAATTCACATAATTTCTAGCAGCTTGCTTATTAGAAATAATTATTGCTGCACTTGGAAACCACACATATACACACACACATTCAACAAAATCTCTGCTTCGTTTGTTACACTGGGCAGAATACAAAATAGTGCCACTTGCTAAAACCCTGTTAATTTAATGCAGCTGATGCCTGTGTTTCCCAGACTAGACATGGCACGTGATATTAAGCCCGGTTTTTATTTGAATTTCCTTGCAGACTTATTCAGGTCTCTTCTGCGTTGTGATAAACCCATACAAACAGCTGCCCATCTACTCAGAGAAGATCATCGACATGTACAAGGGCAAGAAGAGGCACGAGATGCCTCCTCACATCTACGCCATCGCTGACACAGCCTACAGGAGCATGCTGCAAGGTAGGGCCCCTCCTCCCTGCACTGCCTGGGAACCCCTGCCCACGGGGGAAAACACCTCGGCGCTCCACGTGTGCTCCTGCAGGCAGCACAGCCGGCAAAGGTCTGGTACAGAGGGCGACACGGGCTTTCTAGAAGTTTCAGAGGAATTCTTTGGCAGGAACGGCAGTCCACAAACACTGTGACTCAAAAAGGAAAAGCAATCCTTTTACCCATCTGTGTCGAGGCATGTGGGAAGGTTTCAAAGTCAAGCAAATAGTTTTGGCAAATACGGGCATGGAAAATGCTCCCTCTCCACCAGTGGAGACTATTCCAAAGTTAGCTGCTAGTGCTGCTGGATCCTCTCTCTCTCTCCCCTCTAGCAAAGCAAATTCAAGTAATGTTTTGGGGCTACTTTCCTTACAGCCTGATGTCTGGAGCCCTGAGCTGAGATGTGCTCTGTTTTCTGAGGATGATGGCAATGAGCAGTGGGAAAGCAGTCAGGCCCCAAATGGTGCAAACGAGTTCAAAATTCACAGTGCTCTCCTCCTCCTGCAGTCACTACTGCCAGAATGAGGGGATTTTGTACTAAGGAAAAATCATAATTTAGGGATGAAAAAGCCATAGTGATGAATGTATGCAACACCTAGAGACTACAGGGGCATGACCTGTTGCCATCTCACAGAGACCTTGGGTGCTGCAGGAAAACAGGACCTTCACAAAATGCTTTGAAATTTAGATGTCCTCATAAGGCCCCTGACCCTGCAGAAATTCTGGCTGCCAACTATGGCTCAGCAAGATTCACAGGCTTGGCCCTAAAGTTTAGGGCTTCCCGGTTTGGAGCTTAAGGATTTAAGGGTTAAGGGTTTTAGATCTGACTGGTGAAAACAATAAACAGCACCTCAAATTTTCAGTTTAGCAGCTGGATTAGTAGCCAGTATTGATTTTTCAGTAATATTTATACACATACACAGAACAGCAATTGTTTCAGAGAAACTAATCCGTTCAAATCCCCTGTGCACTTTATCTGACTATGCAAATGAAATTACACAGTAGTTCTCTGGGCACACAGCACGTTGTAATCACAAGGATTGCAGTACCCCTGTAGTTATCTCACTTGAAATGTGCACCTGATGAATTTACTAGAGGTTCCAAGCAGTTAGTTTGGCATATCACACTGAACTGCCATTTTCTAAACCAAGATTTAGACTATACAAAGCCTTTCCCCACAATGAAAAAAAAAATCATCCTCTGTGTGTGTGCCAGGCTATCAGATTCTCACAAGTACAATTGCCTGATCCTATGCAGACCTCTACTGCCTGAAAATACCAACCAAAGCCTTGTAATTTAGCACAAGATGAGTATACATACATACATATATTTATTTATTTATTCGCACACACATATAAATACACACACTAGAGGTGACTGATTTCAGAGGCACCAAAACTAGTCTTTTCCCCTACAAAAATCCTCTCGTGTGTACTAACTGTAATGCTAACAAAATAATGCAGGTAACAAAATCCTTAGAACTTCTGATGATTTAACTCCTGAAGATTATTATAACTTAGGTTCCTGACTTCAGAATCTTACATTTTCAGATATAAGAGTCCTTAAAATATAGCTAGTTCAACTCCAAACCCAGAGAACCAGGTGTCTGCTTTACAATATCAACCTTTTTTCCTTTCTGTGGTTTATATGGCATTTCTTTTCTGGAGCTATTTCAATTCCTTTATTTAAGTGCATCCCAGAAGGCAGAGCTACAGTGCAGCAGAGGGGGATCAATAAAGCAACAAAAAATATCCTGAAAACAGACCTTCCTACATACTGTGTGATATAATCACAGTTACAAAAAACTTACTTGGCATAAGCTCATCCCGCTAAGCTGCAGTGATCTGTGCTCCAGCTCACCTCTGGAACTCTGTGCTCTGCATCCAGCACTGCCAGAGCTCTCAGCAGGCCCTGAAGCCAGGGCAGCCTTTCCTCAGATCCTTTATTTAAGCAGCAAGCCTTAAGGGGAGATCTTCAAGCAGCTTCTGGCTCCTACAGATCATCAGCAGTGTTCTCATTCAGCTGTGCAGGCTACTGCAACTTGTCCCTAGAAATGGGATGGGGAAAAACAGCTGGGACAGGGCTACAAAATTTCTGTAGGAAATGAAAAAGAAAAAACCTAATACAGCCTATGCTAAACAGAGTTGTTTTGGCCTGCCAGTGCATGAGTTTTCTGCCTAACATGAAACTAGTGTCAGCATAGATCAAGCCAGCAGCATAAGAACCTCATTCACTCTTCCTCTCCCTGTCTCCTGTCCCTCTAACATGCTCTCCCGAGCAGCCACTGGAGCTGCCTTGCCCTGTGCTATGGCCATTAACTGCACCTAGAACAGCCTGGGTTCAGCTGTGCCTCCTGGGCTGAGTGCAGGACAGTGGAGATAGGAAGAGTGCATGTTTCTATCTATTCACTTTTTTTGTGCTTAAGATAATTTCCTGGCACTACTGACTCTTGGGGAAGCTTTACTCCCTGTTATTCATGTGCCCCCTTTGCAAGGAATTCTTCCTGAGAGCAGAGAAGAGGGGGAGAGCAAGCAGAAAGAAAGGAGGAGGGAATAAATGATCAGTTAACCTTGAAAAGACTGCCCTTCCACCACCTCCCATCCTGACCACGCACAGCTGGCACTGCAGCCAGAGCAGTCCCACAAGAGCTCCCATCACAAGCAGAGGACACCCACGCTTTACTTGCACATGCCATTTTGGAGCCTTTCCATCTCTGAAGAGGGCCCCAGCTGGTTTTAAAGCTGTGCTTTTGTTTGTAAAAAACCTACTCATGCTTTGTGCAATAAAACTAACCCAAACCTCAAAATAACTCCAGTTATTCAGCCAAATTATATTCACCCTGGAGTGGTGAAAGGGGGCGTCACCGTGATTCTGTGTGTGCACGAAACACGGACAGGCACAGACAGCTTCAGGAGGGTTTGTAGGCATATTTGCAAATGGAATATAAACAAAAGTCCTTACTCATAAACATGGATCAGGGCACTAAATGTTTTCCTTGTGAGAATTCAGTACTGCTCCTTATCTGGAAACTTGCATAGTTTCTGCTTGCCAAAATAAAATATGTCTTAGATTCATGCGACTGAAGAATTATATTCTGGTACTTCATGGCCAAGGCCACTTGGCCCAGAGCAATCAGCCTGTTCAGATGTCTTGGGGAACCTTTATCTTTTGGTGAATCAAGCCTCCATGTCTGCAGATTGCCTCCTACTGCAGGCTCATCATCTGGGAATCACAGCCCTTCACATTCTCACCCTCTCCTCTGTTGGCACAAACATCCAGCAAAAAACATGAGCTGTGCACACTGCATTCCTCTTGTGCTTCAGAGACTTACTTGGTTAATGTATTCATTAGGGATGATGCCAAAGTCCCATCAAAGTTGTTCTGATAAAAACACTTAGCCACAGTTACCAGCAATCAGATAATCTGACTTTCTTCCAAATATGCAGAAAAGCTGACATCTCACAGGACACAGGAATTATCAAAGATGTTGGCTGGGCAAAGATAAAATTTCCACTTGTTTCAAGTGGTTCTGAGCACCTAAAACCCTTTCACAAATCACAGTCATGGTGTCTCATGCTCAGCTGGGGGTACTGGATGTCTTGTTGAATCTACTGATTACCATGTCACTAATGCAGTATGATCATTGCCCAGGCACAGCCACCGGGGCTCATTTCCAGCCAGAACAAGAATAAACTTTAATGTTCTTAAAGATTAGGTGAATATAACATTCTGCAAGAGTATTTTGTGTGTGTGTCCCCAGGAACTACCACACTGAACTGGGCCCCAGTGACTTTCTTTACAGACAAGCTTAGCTGAGTACTGCTACACTTAGAGACTGCAGTCATAAAACATTACCCAATGCTCCTGCACCCACCTCTCTCTCCTGTGTTTTGGATGAAGTAGCTCCCCAGTGGGAGGAGTAACTGCTGCCTTCTGTCATCTTCCCTGCATGCAGAAAACAAAAAATGATAGCCAATATCAACATGAAAAGTCAGGTTATGCAGCAGTAGTAACAGATATAAAGTTTTCATGCAGTTGATTAGTCTTTTATTAAGTTCTCTGGCAATAAATCATCATGGAGAAGATATATTAGAGCTTTCTGCAGATCCAAGAAGATTATTTTCTGCAGAGCCATTTTTATGCAAGCCTGAGTTAAAGATGGAAAAACAAACAACCTGGTAGTTACTTGGAGGTATGGGAGGGAAACGCAGTTCCCAAGATCTTAGAAAAGGAGGCTGCTGTGAAAAGCCATCTGTTTACTGTGTCCTTAGCAGGACTGTACAGAAATGTCCCCTTTAGGCAGTGGAGTTATTAACAAATGTAAAGGAGCAGTAAGCGAGTGGTGGAACATGGGTTCAGTCTGGTTTTTTTCCTTTTATGGTAAAGCTGCCAACTTGCTGCTTCATTGTGATAAACCATCTGATTTTGTTGGTGATTAAGCAGAGCTAACTGGTCTATCAAGAACAGAGGGCAAGGATTCTTACAAGGATTCTATCTGGAGGTGTTTGGTGAAAAAGCTAAGCAGATTCCAGAAAGAAAAAAAAAAGTCTGCTGCATGTTTAGGAAAGATGCTGAGGTTTATAATGTAAATGTAGATATCTATGCTATTAATAATTGAGAAGAAAATTAAAAAAATGTCTGACACATCTAATATAGACATACAGAAGGTGGATATGATACTCTTCCAGGTGGTGTCAAATTTTCTTAAGAGGCATTAACCAAAAAGATATTAAAATCTAGAAAGTGTTTTGTTACTTTTTAAGCCCCAGGAATTATGTCTAAGGAGTTTTATTTATGCAAGTCCTTCTCTTCTGATAGATCTAACCACATAAAGTTGCAGATTCACAAAATAGGGCACAGACCTTTCTATATAGAATAAAATATTCCAGAGCAGGAATAGGACTCTCAAATGGGAGAGCCTTTGAAAGTAAAAGAGACCAGTATCTGCAGCTCAAGTCATTAAAGAAGAGGATTAGTTTTCCTGATACATTTCATCCTTAGCATTGCAATTAGTTAGAACTGTTGAAGGAGATACAAGAACATCTGGAATTCTCCCTCCATGAGTGTGTACAGAACAGTTTGTCAGCAGAAGGTTTCTCCCATGATTAACCTGTCCCAGAGGGCATTTGGTGCAACTTCTGACCTTCCCAAACCTTCTGCTCTTACATGTCCCAAAGCTGCCCCCCCACACCCTCATGCAGCCCCCTGTGGTGGGCCAGTTTATGACACCTCCAGCAGGGGATTCACTTACTGGGAAGCAAAAGAAGGGCAGCAATGGGCAGCAAAGAGTAGTGAGAAAATACTTGGCTTAGAGGAGACCAACTTTTTCTAATGTCCCCTGAGCTCAGAAATTCCTGGCAACTCTGTGCCGAGGAATCACTTTTATTTTCTTTATGATATTTATGGCTTTGTGATGCAATATCAATATATGCCCATGGTTTCTATTTACACAACAATGTATTTTTAGCAAAAATTCTACTGTGTTCTCACTTTTTTTAACTTAAAAGAAAGCCTAGTTCATATCCTGCAGCAAAAAACAAACATACAACAAACACAGCTCTTCTCCTCCCAAATGTTTATGTGGAAGAGTCCAGCTGTGCTGATTGCTGAGAAATATCTCCAGCAGAAGTGTAATGAGTAATTTTGTACCAATTTACCGAATAAAGCAGTTAAGTGGCACCATTTGTTGTGTGCAAGATCAATAAAGCAGTTAATGTTAGAGCTGTTGAGGAACTGGGAGTAAAACAGTTGTTTCATATCAATCCAAGCCAGAGCAGAATCCTCTACAGCTTTTCCAAGGCTGGCTGTGGGCCAGGCAGCACTTGCAGCTTGCAAGCTTAATAGGTTTATCTCATGGTATTTATGACATACAGGGTCAGCCACAGGGGAAGCAACCAGACAGGTAGTCCTGCAAGTCACCCCACACACTGAACAAAAGGAGGAAGGAGTTCATGTCTATAACCTCTGACCAGGGGCTCCATTGGGCTAACACTGGCTCTGCATTTGATAGATAATGCCAAACCATACAGAAGTAACTGGCTTCAGCCTTAATTATCTGTCTCAAGCCTCAGATTTGTAGCTACACACACTTTTCAAAAACGTATTTGACCTGCCTGGGAGTTTATTTTCCTAAGTCAGAAGATTTTTCTACATTCTGTAGAGGCAGATGTGACAGTCTCAGCTAAAGAAGGGCCAACTTCAGCACTGGGGCTGGTTGCTCAGGGCCTTGTTCAAGTCTACTTCCAAGCAGCCCCAAGGGTGGAGATACCACACCTCTCTGGGAAACTTGTCCTGATGTTTGACAAGTGAAAAAAATTATTCTACTTCAGAATGGATCACAGCAAACATGTTAGTCCTGCCTTTTGGTAGAGAATTCAGTGTAAAAGTTCTGAAGGTAGACAGAAACTCCAACTCCAAAAAGATAGGCAGAGAGAATTGCTCCAAGAACAGGTTGTGGAGGTAGAATGTAATCCTAAACTTTCCTGCAGCATTACAGCCCACTGGACTCTGGTGTGCAGAAACCTTCTACATGCCTCACATAGTGGAAATGGAGACTTTGGTCCTCCTTTTCATAAATCTTGATCCAAAATGTGTTTGATGGTCCTGTTCATAGTAAAAAGCATGAAGAATACTTATGTGCTTGTTGAAATGGCCTTGTAAAATCTGTGAAGTATCTTGTTTTATCTTATACTTTGGAGGATATCTCAAAGAAATTACTTGTCCTCCTGATAAAAGTTGTCTCTCAGTCTGAAATGAAATAGAGAGTATATTATTCAGGTATTTGAACTTCTCTGTTTTCAAAATTCAAAGCTTTGCATGACAGGCTTAAAACATTTTAGTTGTTCATGCCTTATCTGTCCAGACTTTGTTTCAAGTCAGCTGCTAGCCATAATTCATAAGCATAGTAAAAGCTTGAGTTTCAGGTTTGAAATTTTGTTATAATCTTCTTATAAAGAGCCTGATGTTTTGCTGTCCTCATTACAGTTCATCTCTAATGGAATTTACAAAAATTTTTTTTGAGCTCTTAACCTTTTGTTCATTTTTTGTGCAAAATATTTCCATTAGAGATGGTTATTTAAATGCAAGGGCAAATTAAATAAAATGTGAACCCAGTACTTTGGACTAATTGTGGTCAGCCACATTTTAGGTCTAGACTGTTCGATGTAAATCCTTATAAATATAAGTGCTCCTGTCAGAAAAGCCATTTTCCCTAATTAATGGATTATTTCTCTTTATTCACAGATCGAGAAGACCAGTCTATCCTGTGCACGTAAGTAAACCAATCTATTTTAGTGTATCTCAGTGTTATAATGTCTTTCTTTATTCAAACTTGATTCAGATTTTGATGGAATACATATATTCTCCTCACCTTTAGTAAGCTTAAAGTCCAGTCCCAAATCTGCTTCAGTAGATAGACCTGCTCATAAAATAAAAACACAGCTATCAGTGTTATGGAAGTCTTTAATGCACATTATTTCTTTAAACTGACTTTTTAAAATTAGAGATTAAGAGTTTACAATGAAGAGCTGGGGAGTGTGGCTGTAAAACTGTGTGAGTAGAGAGCATAAGGGATTTCAAAAGATTCCTAGAGGAAGCTGAGGAGCTGAGAGAGAGAACTGAGGAACATGGAGCATCCTGGATGTTTTGAACTGCCTTTCATTTTCAGCTGTTGGTGACTCACCACAACTCCCTAACTCAGTTGTCATTGCAGAGAAGTGTGACCTTTCATGTTCCTGCTGGTCTGTGATGTTTGCCTGCTCTGTGGCTTGCCCAGGGCTTGCCCAGGGCTGTGTTGCTGAGAGGGCTCAGCAGCACTCGGTGGGCTGGGCCTCTCCGTAGGCTCTGCGTGATCACTTTGGGCAACAGTGAAGGACCAACTCAGCCCTGTTTTGAACTTTCTGACTTTTCTGTGTCCTGGCTCCTTGAGTTTTGAGCTGCCAGTCCTCAGACACCACTAGCACGGGGAGTTCAGTTGCTGTACTATGGGTCAGGCAGGGATTTTATTGCAACAAGCTTTGCTGTGCACAACTTATTACTCCACAAAATCCCACTGTTTTGTCATTCCTGCCTATTTTGAAAAATCACTCAAACTCTTGAACTGGACAGGGATCTCCTACTTGACCTTCAGTTTTGACCATTTCTCCATTCCTCTCTTGCTAGTTAGTTGGTTTTATTTGCTTGAATGCCATCAAGGATGTTTTTGACATAATTTTGTGTTTGTTAAGTTAGGCATTTTCCAGTCTTCCTGATCAAAAGTAGGATTTGATTCTATGCAAATGCTAATTATTGTTTGCAGAAGATGGCATGTGTATTATTTATAGCAGGTTTATGCAATTATGCTGTAATCTGTCATGTATTGTAAATACAAACTGAACTGGTTTTAGGTTATCTGAGAAAATGTGGTTACTGAATGACTGAATATATATTTACACTACAGTTTTTAAAAAGCACTGCTACTGATCACCAGCCATACCATTATTTGTTGACTGGAAAAGGATTATCACCTAAGAAAAAGTAATAATTTTTCACTGTGTCTGGTACCATAAGGGTAGCATAGCTCTAACCTCTGTTATAACAAGACTTCAGTATATGTAAGTATATCAATCAAAAATCTGTCCCAAAATGCATCAATACCAAAAAGAAATTTAAAATCACTGCAATGATTAAGTAAAAATTGACTATCACATTCTTCCCAGGATGAAACATGTCATGGTTATGAAGACAAATTTACAGTATGCATTTCCTCCTTGTATTTCTGTACTTTAGTTTATTTTTCCACTATTAAAACTTTGGAATATTAGTACTTCCAAGAAAGGGACTTTCTTTTGCAAATCTCTGCCTTCTTGTTCATGAAAATCCATTTCAGGATCCTCTTCTGGCAGCTAATGTGCATTAAAAATACTTTTTTTTTTCACTTGGCCAGCTTGCTGGAAACACAAGGTAC